GGGCAGGCACAGGCAAGGGGAAGCGCCGCTGGGTGTAGGCAGAGCGTGCGCCCGGGGGCACCGCAGTGGCCCACGAGCGCCACAGCGTGTTCGGCTGGGAGCACAGCAAGACAAGGACCACGGGGAGGAGAGGAGGAGGATGAGGAGGAGGACAACGACGACGAGGCCATTTCCAGTCTTGGGTCCAGGAACACCCAGACTCCTCCAAGAGCACGCATCGGCAGCATGAGTGTATGATCAAACAAATCGTTTCGGCCTGGCCACGCCTTCCTCGCCCCCTCCCTGTTCCCAACTGTCTCCTTCCTTCTTCCGACCTTGTGTGAAGCAACTTGCCATCGAACGAAGAAGACAAGGCCGAAGAGAGGAGGATCCGACGACGACGACACGTCGGAAGTAGAAGGAGGGATGAGGGATGAGGAGGAGGAAGAGCAGTAGGAGGAGAAGGAACAGGGAAGCGCTCTGCCTTAGCAGATCCCTGCAGGTATGCGCACTCTGCGTCTGCGTAGCAGATCCTTGGAGAAATCTGCTATCCAGGCTGTCGATGGTCAATCCTAAGCATTCCCAAGCGGCGCCGGCGCGAAACGTGACGTTACCGGCCCCCTCCTCCCCACATTCCCTTGTCGCCCGGGTTTAAAAACCATCTCAGAGTCATCTGCACTGAATGAACATCGCAATTCTATTTCAATGGCGCAGGGCCTCAATTTACCAGGGCTTGTCGCGTGGCTCCCGGGGCTTCCCGTCTGACTTTCGAAGGTGTCATGCATGACTTTTTCTGTGGCCAGAACGCCCGAAGACGGGCGAAGAGGGTCCCACGAGGAACCCAAGACGTCCCGAGAGGGCCCCGAGTCGGCTCCCTATATAAGGTTCTGGGTCCAGCTTGGAGACCCCATGGCGGCGGCCCACGAGGCCAACAACAATGAATCGATAACATTGTTCAATGTTGCAGTCTCGTTTTTTCATCATAGCGTGCAAGAGGGTCCAAGAGCGGACCAGCAGGCCCCCAAGACCGCCCCAAGAGGGGAGAAGCGAAGGGTCCTTTCGAGCTCTCCATTCCAAGATGGCCTCACGATCTCGTCAGAGGCCCCCGAGATGCCCTCCCTACGAGGCCAGTTCCCCAAGAGGCTCCCGACGAGGCCAGTTCCCCAAGAGGCTCCCGAGACGCCCCCAGGAGTCCTCCAAGAGGGCCCCAAGAGCGCTGCAAGAGGCCCCCAACAGGCATCCCAATATACCCTAAGATGCATCCAAGAGCCCCACGGCCCACAACCCAGGCCCAGTGGCGGGATGGGCCGAAGGTCACTGGACAGACAACCAAACCACGGCGCAACCATCCAGTCATCGTGCCTACTCCGAACGCTACGCAATGAGGCACCGATCCTCAGCAGGGGAAAGTGCCGATACCGCTGCCCTTCCTCCCTCGCTTTTCCGCCTCCCTTCGGACCTACGGGGGGAGGCGCTCGTTGCCACGGCTGGCTTCGTCACGACATTCTGGTCAGAGCGCACCCCGGGAGAGGTCTGGGGAGTCGATCCTCAGACGACCACGGCGAGCCTTGGCCACGAACAGGCTTCACGACCTGAATCTAATCAGCGTCAGCAGCACCGAAGCCCCTCGTCAGCCCTTCGGCGGAGCTCAGCGCGGACGAGCCTTGTCCACGAATAGGTTTCACGACCCAAGTCTAAGCAGCGGCAGCAACACCAGAGCCCCTCGTAAGCCCTTCGGAGCTCCGCGCGGGCTTCTCGGACCGGCGGTGGACCTCCGTCCCCGCGCCCCTTGCAACCGGGCCTGGAGGGCGCCGGGTGCGGCGCCCGAGGGGCTGCTGGGCGTGCGGGGCTGGGGCACGGAGCATGGAGCCTGACTACTGGCAGCGCGTGCGAGAAAGCAACGGCCGTGACAGCAGGAGGCGACGGCGGAGCCAGACGCCATCGGCCACCATGGGAAGCCTGGGAATTTAGGCTCCGTGCGGCGACTGACGGCTGGGCCGCCCGGGGTCCAGCGGGAGGAGGATAGAGGATGAGGAGAAGGGGAGGGAGGTAGGACTGATGAGGAGGAGGAATTTGAGGAGAAGGAGGAGGAGGAGGAGGAGGAGGAGGAGGAGGATGAGGAGGAGGAGCTGCGGCAGGAGCTGGACTCTCCGCGCTCGCTGGCATGCCCGATGGATCTAAGGCTAATCTAAGGAGTGAGGGAACAGACCATCCAGTCGGCCCCAGAAATCCGCGCGGGCCTCCGAAAATTGATGTTCATGCAGATTATTTGGCCACTCTATCTGTTGTTCCTGATGCGGCGGAGTGGCCGTGGCTGACAGAGGGGCAGGTGGACGAGGAGGGTGAGGGTGGATGGGAGGAACAGTCGGAGGGTTCCAGAGGGTTCCGGTGGTGGGGGGTCTAGGAAGCGAATCTTCTCCCTGGGGTCCCAGGAGGGAGGGCGAGACGGAGTGAGTGAGTGACGCGATGGCCAAGTAACACCATTTATTCTACAGCCCCCAACGCCCCTCGGATTTCAACGCGCGTTGCGACAGAGAGGTACTCCGCGCGAAGAGCGTGTTTAATGCCGAATGGAAGGGGTTCAACATGCTCCACTTCGCGTTATCTCGAAGTGGCAGGGCGACTCGACGTCCGAGAGGCCCTTGCCCTCCTAGTGCAAAT